AACTGCTATATTAGCGGAACAGTTGGAACCAGCGTAAATCCAACACTGAGAGTGCGGAACGGGGGTGACATGCTAACGAGGTGATCCCGTGTACTCAATAACAATGTACAAAAGAGCGTTATATCATACGTTTTTACATCGCGCTACGGAATTGACGGAAATATCAACTAAAATACATGTGTTGCATGGGACATCTTCACTCATTTGCGATGCACAAAATAATTGACAAGCGGAATCGTCAAACAAGCAAACAGTCCCCAGGAACTGATTTACGCCGAACCCGTCCCTTATTGTCACAGTCTTAATCTTATGCAGTCATTAGGACCACCTCCAAGTCTATTATGACAAAAGCACCACTCACTCGAAAATCATTACATGTAATAGCAAGGATTGGCTTCCTTTACCATTTTACAGTACATGTTCAAAATAGCAGGTAGCTTTCGGTAAATATTTAGAATTGTATTCGTTATCTATGAATCCATCCATCCGATCCGCTTATCCTCACAAGAGTTACGGGGGCGCCGGAGCCTATCCCAGCTGTCTTCGGGCAGTAGGCGGGGCACACCCTGAACCGGTTGCCAGCCAATTGCAGGGCACACATAGAGACAAACGCTCACACTCACACCTAGGGACAATTTAGAGTGTTCAATCAGCCTGCCATGCAAGTTTTTAGAATGTGGTAGGAAACCGCAGTACCCAGAGAAAACCCACGCAGGACCGGGGAGACATGCAAACTCCACACTGGGAGGCCGTAGCTGGAATTAAATCCGGTACCTCCGCACTGTGATCTCGACGCACTAACCATTGGACCACCAAGCCGCCGTTATCTATATATTGGTGTTATAATGCTCAATGAACAAAATTAGCCCAGCCTTGGTAGAAAAACCCAAAAGAAAGCTCATTCAGTGTGTTTTTGCTCCCAAACATCCATTTTTGAACAGAATTGCATGTTGAACTTGCTGCCTGTTGGTGGTGGAAAACGGCTTGCTCCCAGATTGCAGAAATCGACTATTTTTCTTGTTGTCACCAACAAGACAATAGCTTAGCATGCAGAGCCGTGCGACTAATATTGAGTTGTGTGGCACATCACAGAGGAGGGCCGCACAGCCCGCGTGAAATTAAACACCACAAAACCATTAAAGGCCAAGTCTTTAGAGTTTCTCGGCACACCATCTGCATTGGCGCCGTGGGAGGCCCATTTCAAGAATCAGATCGTGTGATTAGGAAAATACCGTTTCCAATTGATTTCCTCATATTCTCATTTGGGAGAAACCCGCTTTAAAAAAAAAAAAAAAGAGGGAGAGAATATCAATCTGAAATGAGGATGCCATAAAAGAGAACTTCATAAAAAATAATGGATTTTGTCCAGTTCACTTCTCAGCTAACAGAGTAGCAAGTAAGGGGGATAGGTAGCTTATCAAAGAGACAGCATGCAATTGCGGAGGCAAATAAGGGAGAAGGAGGGTAATAATTGAGCGAGAAATAAAAAAAAAAGGACACAGCCTTGGACTGGCATGTAGAGTCCACGGTGTCATCAGAAATGCACCGATTCAAAATGCAGGAATACTATTTTCAATCGACAATGGGTGGGACCAAGTGGTTGAATAAACGAGGAGGAATCACGTGCTCAAGGAGCTGCTATCAAGATTATGCTTTAGGGAGGAAGTCAAAAGTGCAAATGAGCAGAACGCAACACAAAAATGTTGGTGGAAATAACAGAACTATGACTTGAATCCTGGATGGAGATTTCTACGTTCCTGGAAGGCCATTCATTCAGAAAAAGAACCAGGAAGTGATTCATGGCAACGACAAGAAATTCCTTCGATGTGTTAGTTGGTTATGTCAACGGCTGTCCGTTGGACACCGCATAGAGGCTAGCTATTCACATCACCACCTCATCATCCTCACTTGGTGCCCTATAGTACTTTTTTTTTTCCTCCAGTGACCAGGTTCATTCGAGTGCAAGTTTTCCAGCAGGAATTGATGCAGAGTTGTAATCTATGCTGTGTCTGCTTTGGTTGAACGGGTCTGACATTGTTCCTTTACAGTTGGCAAGAAAATTTGGAGGCATTTACTCCACTCACGCTTGTTTCACTGGTATGTCTCTTCGGCTTTGAATCTTTACAAGGATATTGGCGGTGTTCCGGGGTCTTGGGAGTGAGATCTTGCCATAAGTCTCCAGGATTTCGGCACGTTGCATGTTTGTGGATGAATGTAGCAACGAGACCCAATGGCGGTCTATGTTTTTGGGAACGGTTTGTTTTGGTGGGGATGTGCAACTTGGGTTTGATTAAATTGTCTCTTTGAATAAATGTCTGGCCCGTTTAGCCTCTTAAGCCCCCACCGGAATGGTTTGATGTAAATGAATCATGTGATCAAATAAAGCGGTCATCACATCTGGAAAGTTGAGCATGTAATTGAAATAAACAATCAATAACCAATCAGCAACTAACTTAAAAAAATTTTAAAAAAGAAGAAGAAGAAGAAATCAGGATTATGCGTCGCTAAAATTCCCCGCGGGTTAACATGGTAATAAATAATAATTAAGTATAAGGCAGACTGTGCATGTACACGTTCACCTCGGTGTATGCCGATGCTGTTATGATTGGCTGGCTTCATTACAGTCTGTCTACAACAGCACGGCCAAGGTCAGGAGAGGCCGCTGAGATGATAGGGGGGGGCCAAAACCATAAATGCAAATTAATCTGCTGTTTAATCTAATAATGTAAGGAGGTATCGGCTGTCTCGGTCCTATTAACACAACAGTAATTGCATTTGAGAGCGAATGGCCGCATGAGCCCCACATGGGGGACATTCCCCCTCGCACTTGCACACAAGTTCATCAGAAATAAATCGAATGGTGTTTAAAAGAGCACAATGGTGGATATACAATACACGCCGGCGCATAAGAGCAACCGTGCATTCGAGATGGATGTTATGACAAAAGTGAGAAGCGCGGCGCACCGAATGCCATCTCAAGATTCATCTTTGTGTGTCTCATGTTTATATGGCGCCAAGCATCTTTAACCACAGAGCCCCGACTCATTAGCATGCTAATACACAAACAGCGGGGTGCAGTTAGACAAGTGGCATATTATTGGGATTCATCTCATTAGGCTTTCATGAGATTTAAAAGTGAACACATAACTTCAAAATGAAGTCGGGAGATAAAAGACACAAAAAGTATAATTTACCACTTGGAGACAATGCATGACCCCGCGTCGCACTCGGTTTATACCCAAATCAAACATCCACGCTTTATTGTTTTAACTACTAAAACAAAACAAAACAAAAAAAAACAATACCCAAAAAATCCTGAGGTGTGGGTAAGAAAATAGACCAAGGAGTTAAATAATAAAGTACATTACTTGCTAAGCTAGCAATGTTCCAATTTGTCACTCAGTACTGGCGAATGGATTTTTTTTTTTTTTTTGTATAAATTAGCACAACGGGAACATTATCTCGACTAGAATTCTACTTTGCAAAAAGATGAATGCCTTCATCTATAATGCAGTTTTAGTACCAGCATCAGGTGCCATCTCACCTCGAGATGAAGAGCCTTAACTGCACGGGAATCAATGAGTTTTGGGTCATTAAGGTTACGGTGTCCGTGCTGAAGTCGTTGGAGCTGTGTAGTCCTACCGTTGTTTAGTTGTGATGTGTGTACATCTATTTAAATAGATGGGATGTTTTATAGAAGTGTTTTGCTTTCCCAGGCCAACCGACTGGCTCAACATGGTATAGTTTCAATGAATTTCGTTGAATAAAAGGCTTATGTTTGCACGGTGGGGGCGTGTCGGCAGAATAGTGACGGCGACGCAAATTGATTTAAATTTGATAAGAAGCAGCGCAGCAATTCCCTTCAGCTTCGCTATTCAAGGTATTTTTCAAATGGCACATTTTGTGATCTTCCCTTTGCCACTTTTGTTTAGCACCACACGGCATTTGCAAATACGGTGCCGGTTTCCCAATGACAGATGAAAAGGCGGATGTTTGCCCTCTTTTGAAATTCTCTCCCAACTGATAAAAGAATTTTCCTGAAATATGTCAAAACTATGTTTAAGGTTAAACTTAAGTTTGGTGTGAGTTTAAGTTATTTCTTTTTTTCAAAGTGAAGAGTGATCATCCACAAGCAATGAAAAAGTGTTTTGTGTGTTGCAATGAGGTGCCCTCCACAATTGGTGGCGCTCTTGATTGAGATGTGTTAAAAGCCTTGTGATGAATTACATTTTTTTATGCAGAAGCACGGGTTCACCAGACACAGAATCAAGCTCCGACTGTGGCCATCTCAGTCCCCAGACATCAACCCCACTGAAAACCTATGGAGGGGACTATAGAGGAGGCTGCAGAGGGGAGAACTGATGTCACTGGATGATTTAGGGAGATGGAGTGGTCCAACATGCATCATGGGAAACATTATAGGAGGCAATTTGGTGCTGTTTTTTTTTTTTGCAAAAAATGGGGTTGGACAAAGTATTAACAGCGGGGGTGCTAATCATAATGGCGCACATGATTTGAAGTGAAATAGTGATTTCTTAAGGTGGGCTTTTTTTTCACCACTGAATAAATGCACTTGAATTAATCTTTTCATGCACCCTGTAAATCGATAACATAAGCTGTCCACTGTAGTAACTGCTGTCCCTAAAGGGGTTAAAGGTTAGAATTTTCTTTTCAATTTCCTTTTTTTTTTTTTAAATGTTGGTCCAATATTATTTCGGAAAAAAAATAATTTATTCCAAGAAAACATCTCAACCAGGGGTGCCAATAATTATGGAGGGCACTCGATGCAGGAACACACAGTCAAGCAGGAGTGCGGAGAAATTCAATAAAAATACACCAACGGGAAAGCAGCTTTGGACACTGCACAAAACCGGAACTGGGAGTTGAACCATCAATCCTCCAACTGCGACACTACCCTTTACTACCCAATATCGAGCTTGAAAAACTCTGAGGTCTTAGTGCCAATAACCATCATGATCCAAAAGCTGTATGATACTTACTGCGGTGAGATGGATGACTCCTTGGGATGTCACGGGGCACCCCATGAAACCAACAAACTGCAGCTGCGGGCAATGCTCGGCAACCGCTCGCACCGACTGATCAGTGACCTGGAGGAGACAGGAGGAGATGTTGAGTTTACTCAATTGGAGACTCACAAATAAAGCATTGCCGATGGGAGAATAAGGATTGTCGAGAATTTCTACAAAGCAAGTGGGCGCAGACAGCTGTTGTCAAATTCATAACTAAATGTCAGCTCCATCTGCGCAGCATTCTGGATTGTTTTGTGCTTGATGAACAGATGAAGTAAAGCAATCATAGTAGGACCACAGAATGAGGGGTGGGGGGAGGAGGAGGAGGAGGAGGGGGAGGATAATAGGCAAAACGGGACTTGTCTGCCAAGTGGCATCGACTTATGATGGATGGACCACTCCCTTTCATTCACCCAGGCGTCCACGAGCAGGCTCCGAATGGATCGGCCGGGGATCAATGGGGAAGTAGAACATTTCCACCACCTCATATTGTGGTCATCAATACAGGTATTGATACTGTAGCACGTTTCACTCTCAGAAACACTCGAGAAAGATGTGGGAGATTGTCTTCCCCGTGCTTCTCAAAGTCTTCTCATCAATCACCACGAGCAAATAAGATCAGAAGAAATGAGAGCGAATCGACTTTCGAGGGCTGATTAATTGAGGACGGAGCGCCAAAGGACTTTAAAAGAGCAAAAAAAAAAAAAATCATTTTTAATCACGTCTACGTCAACGTGAAACATTTCTGAAAGTCCCAAAACAATATGATACAAAATTAAAACCTTGTTTTCCAAGGGATTCAGTGGCAAAATGCTTATGTGTCCTATAATGCTTATCAAAGCGGTTTTAATCTCACTGCGCCCGTCCCACATTGCATTTGGCGGGATCTGCCTGTCGTCTATTTGCCTTGTTGAGCAGCAGAACACCAACAACAGCTGTGAGCAGCGTAGTGCAAATGCAAACCCTAAAAAGCCGCAAACACATTTTTCAACGAGTCAGAAGCTCCTTCTATTGCGGTTGGTCAGGTCACATGATGAGATAATAATATTCAAAGCAAAGTGTATTTTTCATTCAGAACGACAAAGAATATGACTGGAAATAAAAAGGCATTTCCATTTTGACAAATTCAAATGAGTCGTTAAATAAAACAAAACATCATCAGCTTTCATGAACCCAAAAGAAACATCAGGGGGAATAAATAAGAAAATACAGACTATGCTTTCACACTTTGACCAAAACGCAATAAAAATTTGCAATTGTAGCTTGCCTACGACTCAGTCGGTGCCGACCTTGTTGCACAAGCCTCCCACACGCAATGAAACGGCCCTAACAGTTTTCTGGCAACACTGTAGTTTTTTTTTTTTTTTTTGGTTTTGTTTTGTTTTTTGGGGGGACGGCGGGGGGGGGGGGGGGGGTGTTTTTTAAATAACATTTTTAAGTGTCACAATATACAGTGCAGAGGTCATGGGTTCGATCCCGGCTCTGGCCTTCCTCTGTGGATTTTTTTTTTTGCGTGGGTTTTCTCCGGGTACTCCAGTTTCCTCCCACACTCCAAAAACATGCATGGCAGGCTGATTGAACACTCTTACTAGTCCCTATAGGTGTGAGTGTGAGTGCGGGTGGTTGTTCCCTCTCTGTGTGCCCTGCGATTGGCTGGCAACCGGTTCAGGGTGTCCCCCGCCTACTGCCCAAAGACGGCTGGGATAGGCTCCAGCATCCCCCGCGACCCTTGTGAGGATAAAGCGAATCGGAAAATGGATAGATGGATGGAATATAGAATAATTTCTAATCATGTTTAACAACATGAGTCTAATCAGATCATGATCATTCCTTTTCTTGAAGTATGATGTCAAGTCTCCATAACAAGTAAAACTTGATTTTGTTCCTTGAATAAGGAAATTTTTGGTTCGTATGCCCCTGTGTCCACAACTGAGTTAATACCCTCATGTTTACCACCAAATTGGATGTTTGTTTCTGATTGGGGTTTTTGCTCCCTCTTCCCTTTTTTTTATATTTTTTTTATTTTTTTTTTTTTTTACTTTCTGCTTTAGTGGACAAAGTTGGCCCCGATCATCAATGTCACCAACACTTTAGCTCCAGGACGTCACAACAAGAAAGACAGAGTCCATTTATCTTTGTCCAAGTCACATGCTGCACGGCTTATCTGTGAAAAACACTTCCCGGAACACTGCTGAAGCTTAAAGGTGTGTTTCTCAAGCTTAACAGTAAGGAGCCAAAGTGGTTGAAAAGGGTTGAAACGGCTCATAATGGAATGTGACCGCGAGGTCTGGTGGACTAGATGAAGCAATGTAACGCCGCACTACCAATTACATTATGTCGAAAAGAATTTAGTTCTCATTTGCCACTACAAAAAAAAACAAGCTTACTCGTCATGCATTCCAATATAACTTCAAGAGATGTTGAAGTATGCTTTGAATGTTTTATGCCAGAGGTATTTTTCTTTTTTTTTTTTTTTTAGTACAGTGGAACCTCTTCAATATCGTCTATGGTGCTGGCCATCTTTCACTTTGCAACTTCAAACAACCCGTTTCAGGTTCAGACTGTTGTCAACCCTCATAAAAACTTTGTAAATCGTACAGGCAAAGTAGGGGAAACCATGTGGGGTCTTAACAAAGCCATAAAAAAAAAAAAAAGTCAAAGAAAGGTCCGATTTTTGCAAGGTACGCTTGATCAAGATGCTGAGTGAGACATTCCATGACTATCGCATCAAATTCTGATGTTTTGTGCAAATTCAGAGGCCGATTTATTGTTTTCCGAATTTCAAATATAGATTTTTTTGGATTATTGTTGAGTACAAATGGTATCACAGACTGGTAATCATCGTAGCAATGAAAACATGACTTTCTCAGAGCGTGTTGAAAACATCTAAACATTAAAAAAAAGGGGAAGGGCGTTTTAATCATTCCAACCAAGATAATACGTTTGACTGAACTTAACAAATTCATGAACAAAGTGGTAAAAAGTCAATATGGTATTGACAAAAGTTGTGAGGATGGAACACAAAAATTCCTCCAGTGCTTAAATCACGTGCCAAAATAAATCAACCACCCCGAAGAGAAAAGAAGCTGGAGGCACTTTAAAATTCTGCACCTCAGGTATGGACCCGCCACAGCACCGATCGGCGTCTCGCTGCAGTCAGAAGTGATTATCCGAAGGGGAGTCAGTGCTCCCGACTGGAAAACCTGATGCATATGGAACATGATCTTGCGGGGCAGGGTGGAAACAGGGGATGGAGGAAGAAGGGATCAATATTGTTTTCTGTGTGTGGATGCAACTCAAAAAAATAAATAAAAAAATAGCTGAGCTCCAGAAGCACGCCTTTAACCAAGAAACTCGCAACAATGAAAAAGCTTCAATCAAACATGTGGACTCCCAAGAGTGGTCGACTCCAAGGCTTTTTTTCTCAGTGAGTGGGTACGCTTGCAGCATCTGTGTGTTGAGTCTTGTTTGAACAAAGAGAGAACATTACACATCTTCAAATTATTCTCAGCAGGTGAGAAAAGGCGGACCGCTGAAGAAGAAGAAGAAAAAAAATCCCAAAAGCATACAACAGACCAAGTGGTCATGTACCGTATCAGATTAGGTTTCTATTCATGCGTGTCTGTCTGTGTGCAAGTAGGACATTGTGGGTAAAACTGTAGAACCTGGGAAAAAAAAATGCTCCACTTAAGACTTGAAAGGATTTTGATTTAAAAAAACATGGAAGAAAAAAAAGTGATGGCTACCATTTGTTTGGAAGCCAAGTGGCCAGCCAAAAGAAACCAAATTCAAACCTTTCAGTCGGTATCTGATTTAACGAGCAGAAGAAAAGCGGACCGCAATCGCAGAATGCCGCAATCATAAAGATGGCTTTTGTGTGAGTCTTGTTGCAAGGTAATTGTTGAGAGCGCTGCGGTAGCAAAAAACAAGCAGTGCCGTGTAAGAGTGCGTTTCATCTTGCGGCGCATTCTCGTCTAAGGCCAGCGACTCACCGAATGGCCGCATATTATCGAAGTCGTCCATCATCCTGCTCATTGTCAAATAGTGTAAAAAAAAAAAAAAATCATTATTATTATAATAATATTCACATTTAATGTGTTTCATTGGACATGTGGCAAGTTTGCCCAAATGGCCCAAAAAAGCTCAATGACCATTGGCCGATTGAAAGTGTCAAGTGTAGTTTCTTGCATTTGTTTTTAAACCTGAAGATCTTCATGATTTACACTTCAAAGGGATTTTTGGATGGCAGGCAATGTGACTTATATAAAATGTATTCACTGTCTCAGAATCGTCCTCTGGGATGATTCCATTCTTGGTCCGACAAAAATGAAGCGTTTAGAGATTCTTGAAAGGCACCCACAAACTGTTTCAGAAGGACTTTTCATTTATTTAGCTTTGAAATTCATTTTCCCCAAAAGAAAATATGGAAAATTGAAGAAAGCCGTCGTAGGGATTCAACTTTTGTCATCATAAAAAAATGCCAAACATTGGCTCATAAATGTTTTAAGTAACCTAGCGCTGGCGTCGTGCTGAAACCTCCAATGACACAATTTGGTAAATTTCATATTTTCCCACAACTCGATACGGTTGGTCAAGCCACACATGAGGGCGTTGTTGTTTTTACAAATTACTGATCAATATAAAAATGTGGACAATGATGCAACGTTAATGGTTCAATGCTTTTTGGGCAACCAAGATGGAAATGGAGAACGAGGTCATGCTACTAACTTTCGGTCGTTATTCAAATCGTTCTTAATTGCCTAATAAACTATTAATTCTTCAACAATGTTTTGTTTTTCAGTTTTTGACATTCCAAGGGTTCACTGGATATGTTATTACCCTAGACTTGTAAAGCTCCAAATTGTAAAATGAATGACTAGGCTCCCAAAACAATTACCCAGTAATACACGCTAGCGTTCCAAAAACAATTAAATGGCGTAAAGGTTGGACAAAAGGCATCTTAATGGCTCCAAACACAAGAGGATTCACTTTTGTTCAAAGAAGCGCATGTGCCGTTTGAACACGGATAGATCTGCGTGACCCGACTGTTGTTACCAGTACAATTCCACCGGGGAAAA